TGCTAAGTTTTAGCTGCCTGAGCTCCTTTTTATGGGTAACTCATTGCTGCCAGTGGGAGTCGTGTACATGAATCAGAGAGAAGGACAAACCCTTAATGTTTAAACACTGAAGCGGTTCCAAGATCCAGGGATGACATATGTGAAGAGCACTCGGTGAGAGAAACAGCAATTGAATAGTTTATCAGAGAACGGCAATTCTGAAATCTCACACTGTTTTATTGAAAATATATTTTTATAATATGCTTTTTATTTTTCAATGTATTATTAAACTTCCTTGAAGATTAACGCAATCTGTTGTCAAATTTTTCTCATGTGGCCTGATTGCTTTGCAAAATACCATATCCTACATATGGCCATCTGTCAAAACAGCAGTGACAAAATGAATTAATCTGAATTGCAGATGTGTTAATGAATCCCTTTGAAGGGCTTAAGCATTTAATTAAAAGTAAAGCAGATCATGATAGATAATTTTTAAAGCTTTTAAAATATTCTAAGTTATCATTTATATTTGAATTTTATTTTCAGGCTTACAATTTATTTGGTAGGATTTTCTCTCCCCAAATCTAATTAAAATAATACAAACAAGTCTTGACCCCAGTGTGTAGCGTTCACTCACCAGCAATTACATAGAATTAAAAATATTTGCACAATGATACCAAACATTAGATACTTTCTCCCTAAAATAGAAAAGAAAAACACTCTCAGGAAATTGCAGCCGCCTTCTGATCGGACTGACTTTAAAGATGATAGTTCGTAAAAGCCCCTTGGTAGGGTTATGTCCTTTTATTATATTAATAGGAGACAAACAGTTACAGTTATACACTTGGGCACACAGATGTGTCCATGCCCTTAGAGAATGTCTTGCTAAAAAAGGCCGTAGTACTTGCGGCACATTGCGTGAGCAGCAGAGGCTGCTGAGCTGTCACGGAGCTGGGTCGTGGGCAGACTTTGCCCACGGTCTGGCACCAGCCCGGTCCACGGCTCAGTCGAGGCATCGCGCCTTCCCCAGACCTCAGTGGCAGAACTCGGTCATCTTGTTGAGAACATGCTGAAGCCATCTTTCGAAAGCTTTCTGTGCCACCAGAAGGGTTGATTAAAAGGAAAAGGCAGCAAAACTGGAATTCTCCTGCAGTGGGATAGTTTAGAAAACAGGGCTTTCCTGCAAATACGGAATCTCATGAGATTTATGGCTAAACCACAGGACTTTTCAACACTGAAACTCTCCGTCAGCTTCAGTGAGACTATTCACTCTTGATTTCAGATTTGTCCTTATATACTTTGCCGAATCTGGGCCTTAAAACTCTTGTACTTTGCCAAGCTGTGAGTCATTGAAAGTGCTGCTGCCTCAAATGAGCTGGTGACTAAAGCAAACTCACACTGATTATTTTTGAATCCATCTTTTGTTGAAACTGATATCACACTGGGCAGAATTTTTTTTTATATAACATGTAAGATAATTGTTAAAGTTTGTATAGGAAAGTTTGATGAAAATGTCCTCTAATTAAGCCCTGTGTTCATTGTTCATCACCATGTATTTAGAATTTCTTTTAACATTAGAAAAAGATATTTCCGTTTGGAAAACTAACTGTGTCATGATGGTGGAAATTTTTTTGTAGAAAAGTATTTTTAAGGTGTTCTCAAAGAGATTCTTCCTCTGAGGAGAAAAAAGAGTTCTTCAAATATATCTGCATGCATGTGCAAAAATGTATAAATTCATATGTGTGTGTGTATTGTATATCCACATGTACACAGGCATGTACAAATAGATGTGAAAGTTAGTATGTCATAATCCATAGCAGCTATAACCTTAGCAATTTATGCATGAAAGCCTAACATGATCCATACAGTCAAAAATAATTAAATGAACTAACAAGAAAGCAGATACATTAAGCTTTGCAAAATTGTAAAATTAATATTACAGCTATGTCACCTTCGCCTGCAACTGGACTGAGCAAGGGTGAGAGAGAGAGAGAAATCAGTTCCACGAGTTTTGGAGAATGTAAGACTGTGCCGAGAATGTATCTGTGTCTTGTGATGTCTTGTTCTGGTGTCATTGCTGCTCTGTGGCGGGGGGCTCTTCATCACCAAGGGAGTCTGGCAGGGCCGTACGCCAAGGTTAGCCACGAAGGTGCAAAGTACTTGCTTTACTGTGTACCGGCTACCGGCTGATTTCGTAGGCGGCGGTGGGGGGCATCACGTTCGCATTTCGTTCATGAGTTTGCCCGCGTGGCTCGTCGACGGGGCTGTGGCACTCGCCTCTCCTTCCATTCCTCCTCACAGCCCCAGCAGAACTCTTCTTACCACTTTTGCGACGCTCTCCAAATGGTCTGGTTTAATTCAGGACGAGCAGACTGGCAAGTTTTACCCATTTGGGCTATGTACACGTTTTTTCAGAAAGAGTCAGACACGCCTGAGATCAGGTCAAGGTGCAAAGGTGCAGTGAATGACTCCTGGAGGCCATCTTCCATTCGTTTTCAACAGAGTTGCAGCACCACCATGAAATTTTCCCTTTAAGTAAGGGAAGTGGCTCCTCTGAAGTGCTACTGAATAATGGAGAACCTAAAGTAATTCTCCAGTATGGACGGCCTCAGGGGGTCCCACCTCAGCTGTATGGAAGCACAGAGGTGGATGGGGTTTTCTGGGCTGTGCCAGTGAATCACCATACTGCAGAATTGGCGCAAAAAGCGGTAAAAGGAGTTTTGTTCGGTTTGTACTCGCGCTGTGTAAATGTGTGTTGTCCGTATGTTTGTTGTATCTGTGTTTCACCTCTCTGTAATCCTTCCAGCGGAAGGAGCGTTACGTGAATGAACTTGCTTCTTTGGGTATAGACTTGTCTTTTTTTGTTGCTTTGGTTTGACACCGCCGTTACACCTCGGCTTGCCGTTATCTCCAGCGGCCGTTAATTGGCTAGCTGGTACCCGAACCAGGAACATAAGGCATCGTTCTGTGAGACTGGAGAGTTGACAAATGGGAAGGTGTTGAGAGATGCCGAGGAAACGGGCCCACGCTGAAGCTCTCTGCAGAAGCCATTTTGCCTCTGACAGATCCAACACGCGTTATTAATTGGTTGGGGCCAGCCTTTGCCAAAAAAGCCTGCGAAGTGCTGGAGAGACGCTTCCGAATGTGTCTGCTCTTCACGCTCCCCCTCGCTGAAGGCAGTGACAAGCACCAATTAATTCGTTGATACGTTCTGCTGTTGTGCCGCACGTCTGTATGGTGGTGAGCTGCCTTCAGCCAGCTCGCCTGAACAGATGAACCACGCGGGCTTCCAGCGTGTTCATCACCTGATTATTCTGTAATTGTATCTGGACAAAAATTAGCCTCTAGTTCAGTAAGGTAATGTGCACAGGTCTTCAGCTTAGTTTATAACTGCAAGTAATCAAAACGTGAAAATACGATATATAAAACCAGTGGCTATAAACCAGTTTCAATGAAAATGTCAAAGCAGACATCTGTGCCTTAGCACTCACCTGTTCTTTTAATTTTTAGTATTCCCAGGTCTTAAATTCCTATTATATTTTAAACCTCTTGAGTCACTGAAGAGAGGGCATCAGAGCTAGCCAAAAGTCTCAAGACTGAAAAGCACCAGATAACTAGACCCAAACTTTTGCGCAACAGGCACCAACAGTGTAAAATGCAATTAGGGCCAGGCTGACACTCACCAATGTCAATGGAAAACAACTGGTTTATCTGCTCGTAGGTACAGAAAACGAGATTAATGTGTTGCATCCCATATCTGAGTATGCACCTATTTAAATTACATTCCTGAACGATATACTTCGATTTCTTTACAAAGATCTAGGCAGCTGACTTGTAAAGGAACAGCTTTTTTTATCATTAATTATAAATTTTGGGAGGGGATCATTACAAAATTAGTCAATGTTACAGATACTAACCAATAAATATTAAATTAACCTGAAGTTGTCTTCTGATATGATTTAATGTTAGCAATTAATTTTGCATTTTTAAAAAAGGGATGAAAGCAAGCATGAATAAGTTAATATAAAACATTACTGTTCAGCCGCACTTCAAGGTTAGTACTTCACTGTATGTAATATTCATTGTAAAAACCTTGCTGGTATTCCATACTAATGAGTAGGTAAGGTTGAGCTTTTTTATGTTTCCAGCTGGTTTTGTCTGTTCAGTGGTTTTACAGAGCCCATACACGAGCGAGTGAGAGTCAGGACAGCTGCTTTGCTTTCAGTGGAGCCCTTCTGTTTTACACCGACTGGGGATCTGTCCCATAGTTATTTCAAGCAGTGTGAGTAGACAGATAGCAAACTATGCCTCTGAAAGTTAATTAAACGGTAGAAGTCATAACAAGTGGCTCTTTTGTCTACCATGAAAGAGGAGGCAGCTGTATTGTTTCTGGCAGAGTGATTCTCTGTTGTACACATTTATTTACTGATGATTTGGAAGAGGCTCTTGCACTGGGTAATGACACTAATATTGATGGAAGGAAATATTGTAGGGATAAACAAATGGCAAGTCACAATTAGACACCTAGAAAGTAGAAACCACTGTGTAATTTTTAGTAGTGATTTAAATAATAATCTTTTAGTATTTAAACCTATAAATGTTCTTAGTTATGTCTAAAAATTCAAGACTGCCTCATTTAAAGAGTAAAATTATGCAGCAGATCCCTCTACACGTACATCAGAGTAGTCCTGATTTGGGTATAAAGGTGTGGGGTTTTGATTAAAAATTACATTTTTCCTTCTTTCCCTTCAGTTCCAGATTACCAAGAGCAGGATATCTTTCTATGGAGAAAGGAAACCGGTTTTGGATTTAGGATTCTAGGTGGAAATGAGCCTGGAGAACCTGTGAGTACATCTAGAAGTGGTATTGTTTTAACTCGCAACATCTTCCAGAATCATGGCAGTAGCATGTACAGATGTGCAGAACTGCACCGTGACATCTCTATTAAAATAACTAGTGGGCTATGTATTTACGTCCCGCAATTCCTCCCCACCCTCCCTCCAAAAACCAAACCAAAACTCCCATAACTGAAATGGGTTTGGCTTCCCCTGCTGTTCCCTGTTTTTGCGATAGCCCAAATGAAAACACATAGGCCTGAAATTGCCTGGACACTGAGGAAAGGGTGTCCTGGTCAGGTTTGCAAATATTTTGATCTTAGAGTGTCAGGTTTTCTATTTGCTCAATTCCCTCCTTGAATTTGCTTAACTTCTTTACCATAAATCCAGTGCCTGTGGAAGGTGTCAGGCTAAAAACGCGTGGACTTTCATGTGCTGCTCAGATCAAAGCTACATAGTGGTAGCATAAATTTCCACATATTTCCCTA